ACAGGACCAGATAAAGAACAAAACAGGTATTGTCTACCTTATAAAGGCCACAGTCTGCTTTACCTTGTTGCTTGGAGAACATACTTTGATTAAAATTGGGAGGAAATCTCCAGTAGATCCAAGCTCACAGGGAGCTTTCCAGGGTCCTGAAATTTTATGCTTGGGACTGAATGTATCACGCTACAGTTTCCTGAACCTTATCTTAACCTGAGGTAACACTAATGTCTCAACAAATGAAACTGATCTGTAGAAAATGTAACTTGAAAAAAGAGACATTGCACATACTTTTTTAAACCAAGAAATCTTTAATAAAAAATGTGTTTTAAAAACAAACATGACTTTGCTGCTCTGACTTTACATGAAATGGGTTTGCCACTCCGCCTAACATTACATCATCCATCAACATGCTATCTAATAAGATTTTACTAAACTAAGTCACTTTCCCACTTTGAGCCTCAGGTCTCTGTGGAACAGGATAGGAAGTGCTATTTTCATAAAGCAGGAAATCCCTAATCATCAGTTCCCAGCAGCTGATCATTCTGGGCTATTGGCCAGCCATCTGCCAAACAAAGGAATGGTTGGTGGTTGACCAGCAGGAAGCAGAACAATACATTCTGGAAAGAGAGAAGAGAATGAATCAGTGACCAATGCAGTTAAGAACTCAAGAAAAAGGGCAAAAATTTCCAGCCACATTTCATACTGTTCTGCATACGGGGCAAGAAACGAGCAACGCTGTAGAGAAATCTGATAGAGGAGAAATTAAGCAGCGACCCTAATATGAACAAGTTGAGTTCGCAGGGGGAAATCAAGTTCCACAGCCTCAATGTCACCATTATAAGGACCACATTTTGCATCCCCACCACAGAGCCATGATACTTAAACCCTTGGGGAAAGGATCTGGAATTTCAGAGCCACAATATTAGGGACATGGGTATTTGGCTTAGGAATTAGCCACACTTACTTTTCCTCTGTGGGACGCAGGTGGCGCTGTGCGTTAAACCACAGGGCCTAGGACTTGCCAATCAGAAGGTCGGCGGTTTGAATCCCCACAATGGGGTGAGCTCCTGTTGCTCGGTCCCTGCTCCTGCCAACCTAGCAGTTCGAAAGCAGGTCAAAGTGCAAGTAGATAAATAAGTACCGCTCTGGCGGGAAGGTAAACAGTGTTTCCGTGCGCTGCTCTGGTTCGCCAGAAGCGACTTAGTCATGCTGGCCACATGCCCCAGAAGCTGTACGCCGGCTCTCTCGGCCAGTAAAGGGAGATGAGCGCCGCAACCCCAGAGTCGGTCACAACTGGACCTAATGGTCAGGGGTCCCTTTACCTTTACTTTACTTTTCCTCTGCACTTTCCAGGCACGGTCCATACTTTAAAGCTCTGTGTCCAAGTGGCCCTTCCTTCCTTCCTTCCTTCCTTCCTTCCTTCCTTCCTTCCTCTCCAGAGCTTTCCCTATGAAAACCCACTCTTGGCTGCTGAATTGGAGTAAACGGCAATCAATCTGTGGATAACCTGAATTGCCATTTGTTGCACTTCTTTTTTTAAAAGCAAGTTTTCTTGGGGAAAGCTCCAGGGTGAAAAATAGAGTGCTCGGACATGGAGCTTTAAAGTGTGGATCTCTGCTTGGAAAGCAGAGGGGAAAGGTAAGTGTGGATAAGTCCCTACACCAAGTTAGACAGTGGGTTCATCAAACTCAGTATTGTCTACACGGATTGGTGATGACTGTCCAAAGTCATAGGCAGGAGTCTTTCTCAGCCTTACCTGGAGATGCCAGGGATTTAACTGGGGATGCAGATGCTCTACCACTGAGATACATCCCTTATCCCTGAGTCATAGGCCACCTGAGTGGTGCTTTCCACACAGGTTGACAGCACAACCATTTCATTCCTGTGTCAAAATGGTTTTGAGTTGACCCTGAACCTAAATAGAGAATGGTTTGTCTCTTTGTGCGTGCTAAATACATGTGCCTAGTCTCGAACTCCTAAATCCCATTGATTTCAACATTCCTTAAGCACTTGGATAAGAAATGGATTGCAGCCTCTATCTCTAATTGGGCACTGTGTGTGAAGTTCAGCGGGGCTTTTCTTGGGGTTTGTCACATTTCTTGAGAACTGGAAAAAACAGGAGGCTGAGAAATATTAAATGCTGTAGGAAAATGCTCACCTTTCAGAAAGAATGACTCTGTTCCCAAGCTTATAAAGGCTCTGTTTGGAAACAGCTCTGCTGCTGCCCCAAGAGCTTCGAAGCCTTGCCTTCAAAAGAGTCTTTGAGGAGACCCTGCTCTCTGAATCAATCCATCATTTCAGAAAAGTAAACTCATCTTTAGTGGGCCTTTAAAGATAAATGTGAAGAAGAGTGATTGATGCTGGAGGCACAATTCTTTGTGGGAAAAGAGATGTGGAGGAAAGACACTGGATGAACAATACAGGAGTGCCGGAGGTGAATAGCTTGTATCACCAGTAGTCAATAACTGCATTCCTTCCTTTCCTTCCTGCACTCTTTCCTGAGCACTATGTCGGAATCTTGACAATACATTTGAGAACAGGGAAAGGGCTGTAGCTCCTTGATAGAGGACATGCTTTACATTTTCAAGGTCTCAAGTTTAATCCCCAGAATTTCCAGGCAAAATTGGATGGTGAACCTGGCACTCTCCAGATGTTGCTGTACTGCAACTCCCATCATCCCTGGCCATTGGCCATGCTGGCTGGGGTGTGGTGGAGCATTGCCTCCACCTTAGCTAGCAACCATCAACAGCCTTCCCTTCCATGAATTTGTCTAACTCTTTCGTCTCAATGTTGCCCTTGTAGAACTCATCAGGGAAGAAGATGGGAACAATTCTACAGTTAGGTGGCTCTGCCTTTCATTAGCTACGGCTCCACCTACTGTTGGACCTCCTGCCTTATGTTTTACCAGTCACAAAGGGTACCAGCTCCCACTGGGTAGAAGGTGTGTGAGCAATGCAGCTTTTTGCAAAAAAAAAAAAAATCAGACTTTGAACTATGGAGAATTCCTAATGCATCAGCTCCATTTTGGAATTGTGACCGGGTGATTTGGAGTGTCACAATTTGGGACAATGGGAATTTGGAAACTTCCCTACCTCTAAGATGCAGCAGCATGCACTGAATACATTAAAGCCTCGTTGCTTATCCACCAAAATAATGAACTTCAAAGTCATTCATTGACTTTGACAGCCTCTTTGTGAACGCTGCACACACAATCTCCTGCATGCGTGATGGGCATTCAGATCCGTTCAATAAAACTTTGCTAAAATGGCCAAATATGAACCTTGCTTCAGAGACCCCGTTGCTGCTCTGATGCTGTGCAAACACTGGGTGTGAGTGGCATTTCTCTCTCTCCTTTGAAGAGCATCCAATGCAAACAGAAGAGTTGGAAACCAATTTGCTCATGTTTTCCTAAAGAGTTACCCAGCATATGATATCTATAGTAAAACACCTTCATGATTCATAATTGATTAGGGCAAGTGACAACCAGCCTTTGCTTGTAGACCTCCAGGGAAGAAGATTGCCCCACTTATTAGGAACATAGAAATCTGCCTTGGTTCATTTAACTCAGTATTGCGGGCATGGGGAACCTTTGGCCCTCCAGATGTTGCTGAACTACAACTCCCATCATCCCTGGCCACTGGCCATGGTTTCTGGGGCTGGTGGGGGATGAATACCAGCAACATCTAGATCAGTGGTTCTCAATCTGTAGGTCTCCAGATGTTGTTGGACTACAACTCCCATCATCCCTGAGCTCTGGCCTTGCTAGCTAGGGATGATGGGAATTGTAGTCCAACAACATCTGGGGACCCACAGGTTGAGAACTGCTGATCTAGAGCCAAAGGTTCCTCACACCACCACTGTGTACACCACCTGGCGGTGGCTCTCCAGGGTTTCAGACAGAGGCCTCTCCAAGTCCTACCTGAAGAAGCTGAGGACTGAACCTCGGATCTTCTACATGCAAAGCTCCAACAATGAGATAAGTTTCTTCCAGGATGATGACGATTATTATTATTATTAATTTTTATTGATTTTAACATATAAATTATAAAATGTACCACAAAACTTATCACTTATACAATCTTTTTAGACTTCCATCGGCACCTCTGATGATCCACCATTTTAACCACTTCTTATGCATTTCTTAACTTTATATTGCCTTTACATCTCTTAACAAATCATCCTTCCCCTTCTCCATTTTTGCAATACTTCCAATAATACTCCTCACAAAACTTCTTGCAAACCTACAAACGTCGTCTGATCTTCACAAATACTTTTCAAATAGTCAGTAAATTTACTCCAGTCTTCTGTGAATTTCTGGTCCTGCTGGTTTTGAATCCTTCTTGTTAGTTTATCTAGTTCTGCATAGTCCTTTAACTTCATCCTCCATTCTTCAATCGTCGGTAATTCTTCTTGCTTCCATTTTTGGGCCAGTAATATTATTGCTGCTGTTACTGCATATAAAAAGAGCTTACATTCCTTTCTATTTATATCACTCCCAACAATGCCCAGTAAAAATGCTTCTGGTTTCTTTATAAATGTATATTTCAACATTTTTTTCATTTCATTATATATCATCTCCCAGAAGCATTTCACCTTTCTACATTCCAACCACAAGTTTCTTCCAGGATTAAAGTCTTCAGTATTCTCCTTTTCATAACAACCTGGTCCTGTCTCTGCCCCACCCCTCAAAAAATAAAAAAAATAAAAATCCTAGTCCCACAACCCACCCAACTGCAAAATAATTCTGCATGAATCCTCCTTGACACAAGAACCCTTTTTCCATACACTGTTTAGCTGCCTTTCTTTACCTTGAGAAGATGGATCAAACTGAAACAGGCTCTGGTTCTCTAGACTGCAGTAAGTCTCAGTTTATAAGTGGTCCCCTTCTGAACTTAAGAAGCTACCTTCTACCAACTCACACCACTGGTCCATCTAACCCACTATTGTCTATGCTTTCTGGCAGCAGCTCTTTAGGGGTTCAGGTGGGGAGTCTCTGTTCTACCTGGAGATGCCAGAGATTGAACCTGCGATTTGCTGCGTGCAAAGCAGATGCTCTTCCACTGAGCTACAGCCTTTCTCTGCCTTGGCTGGGTCTGTCTTTTCTTTTAGTTATTTTCTGCTTGCAGAAGTTTGCACTGCTTACTTTACCATTGCAAAGCTTCTTTTGGGAAGCTGGTAATAAAGCCAGAGGGAAAGCAATATATTGGAAATAAAAGGAGGGTGAAGAGTGAAATAAAATGTGGATTTTTCTTTTTTTTTAAAGAAAAGAAAAGACAATCCTTTTCCCCAGGAGGATTTAGATACGATATTGCATCTCTTTTCCCTTCCTTATGACAGCAGAGGATATTTTCATTTATTTTAAACACACTCATTTTCTTCTGCCTTTTCAATTTCCCTTTTGTCATAGGCAGTGGTGAAGGTCAGTTTATTCTTTGCCCAGAGAGGCAACCTTGTGAAAAAGAAGATGTAGAAAAAGAAGAAGCCTCACCAACCTTGTTTGAGTGAGAATGGCTATTGTTCCCATCCATCCACCCATAGCCAACAGACTTATTAAATACAGTTTCCATCTAGGGAAACCAATACATTGGGGACTCAGTCCCCCTGTGCAATTAGAGTTAAAGCTCGCATCAGATTAAATTAGCAGTTATCTGAGATCTTCCCCCCTATTCCCCCAGCTAATTAAAGTGTGTGGAGAAATTACCTGCCTACCCCTCCCCCATACCCTCCGCCTCCCCTTCCTCCATCACCATGTCACACTGGGTAATAGTGTGGTGGGGATATCTGGGCCTATGGGAAATGCAGTTTTCCCAGGGGTTGCTACCCAATTAAAAAATAAATCTTATCTTGGCCTCTTTTGAATCAGGACTTAGGATTCCCCCCTCCCACTAACCTTTTAGAGATGGGTGTGTTATCAAAAGCTCACCTTGGATTGAATTAGAAATTATCTGAGATGTTGCTTCCTCACCACCTCTTTTGCAGAAGATCTATGATTATTTCCCCACCACCACAGAGCCTAGGACTTGCCGATCAGAAGGTCAGCGGTTCGAATCCCCGTGATGGGGTGAGCTCCCGTTGCTTGGTCCCTGCTCCTGCCAACCTAGCAGTTCGAAAGCACATCAAAATGCAAGTAGATAAATAGGTACCGCTCCAGGGGGAAGGTAAACGGCGTTTCTGTGCGCTGCTCTGGTTTGCCAGAAGCGGCTTAGTCATGCTGGCCACATGACCCGGTATAAAGCAAGATGAGCGCCGCAACCCCAGAGTCGGCCATGACTGGACCTAATGGTCAGGGGTCCCTTTACCTTGACCTTTACCACCACCAAAGCTAATCAAAAGGCTCAGGGAAATTATCTGCCCATGTCTTCTATCCTCAACCGCCCTCAAAATCTGTTCTCTGCCAGCTCTCAGCCCCCACAAAATAGAATCAGTGGGGGCATGTGAAGAGGGACATTTCCACCTTCTCCATCACATGTTGCACTGGGCAATAATGGGCATCAGGTCCCACGGCAAGTGCAGTTTTCCAGAGAGCTGCTGCATGATAAATAATAGCTTAAATATATTGGCCTCTTTTGAGTCATCCTAGATACTCACTCTACCTTCACGGTCACTGGGATTCTTCAGCTGGGAAATGCAACCATTAAACAGGTTCGATACTTGTTTAAGTGTGTTGCACTGATGCCATTTGAATTGCAGTTTCTCATCGCAGTACTCGTCTCCACACCGTCCTCATTCATGCTTCCTTTCTCCTGCTGCCGCTGTCTGTTTCCCGGGTTCTGGTTTGTCTAAAATGATACAGAATTTAGACAAATTGCCCTCAGTACAAAAACAGGAATTGAATTAGGGTGGATTCCAGTACTATCCGAGTGTGGTTGGGATTGGACGTGTGAAATGAGACTTAATTAGCATCCCTTGCTCCCTGGAGACAATTGGTTGTGAAATGCATTATTTCTTGTGTCATTTCAAGGTAATATGACGTCTCCATTGAACTTCTGTTAACACTTTTGGATTTATTTATTTTAGCCTTCAGTGGCAATTTCTGTTGCATCTTTCTGGCTTTAGATCCATTAATTTTGAATTATCTTATGCATCCCAGAGGCAGGGGAAACTTTTTTTCATTCTGGGGGTGGAGGCACTTTCCCACTGAGACCACCTTCCAGCTGGTGGGTGGGGCTAGAGGCATAAGTGGCCAGAACAATGGATGTGAAATTTGCACAGTAGGGGTTGCTTCCAATTCTAGTCCTATTCAGAGTAGACCCATTGAAGTTATGACAGACCTACTCTGGAATAGGGGTGAATTTGTCAAACTCCAACTCCCCACGGAAGAAGACTCAAAATGTTTTTGCCCTGGGGAGGAGCTGAGAAAGAGTAAGGATGACCAGGCTTTGTAAACTGGCTCTGCCCCAAACACTCCACTCTTTTCTTTGCCGCGCCCTCACTCCCTGTGTTGTATGTTCTTTACTAAGTGCCTACTTGGAGGCTGAGTAGGAATTTTGGGTGAAGCCCCAATTGGCCTTGAGGCTGTATTTCTTCACCTATTCCATACCGCTGGATCAAGCCAATGGCCCATCTAGTCCAGAGTCCTGTTCTCACAGTGGCCAAATGGAGGCCTGTGGGAAATTCACAAGCAGGGTTCAATCACAAGACAACTCTCCCCTCCTGTAGTTTCCAGCAGCTGGCATTCAGAAGCATTACACCCTCCAACCGTGGAGTCATTGACACCCCTCTCCTCCACGAATTTTTCTAATTCTCTTTTCATAGAATTGTAGAGTTGGAAGGGACCCCAAGGACCATCTACTCCATGGGTAGGCAAACTAAGGCCTGGGGGCCGGATCCAGCCCAATCACCTTCTAAATCCGGCCCACGGACGGTCCGGGAATCAGGGTGTTTTTACATGAGTAGAATGTGTGCTTTTATTTAAAATGCATCTCTGGGTTATTTGTGGGGCATAGGAATTCATTCATTCCCCCCCAAAATATATATATATATATAGTCTGGTGCCCCACAAGGTCTGAGGGACAGTGGACCGGCCCCCTGCTGAAAAAGTCTAGTCCAATCCCTTGCGATGCAAGAATCTCAATTTGCAGTCACCTATCCAATTTGGGACGCGGGTGGCGCTGTGGGTTAAACCACAGAGCCTAGGGCTTGCCAATCAGAAGGTCGGCGGTTCGATTCCCTGCAACGGGGTGAGCTCCTGTTGCTCGGTCCCTGCTCCTGCCAACCTAGCAGTTCGAAAGCACGTCAAAGTGCAAGTAGATAAATAGGTACCACTCTGGCGGGAAGGTAAACGGCGTTTCCATGCGCTGCTCTGGTTCGCCAGAAGCGGCTTAGTCATGCTGGCCACATGACCTGGAAGCTGTATGCTGGCTCCCTCGGCCAATAAAGCGAGATGAGCGCCGCAACCCCAGAGTCGGTCACGACTGGACCTAATGGTCAGGGGTCCCTTTACCCTTTATCCAATTTGAAACCATACCCGACCCTGCTTAGCTTTGCAAACAGCTAACAGTTTTATTGCCACACCAGTGTTGATTGGCTGTTGAAACAATTGATCGCTGCCTCCTGTGGGAAGGCGTTCCAACGTTTAACTATGTTCTGTGTGAAGAAGCGCTTTCCTTTATCTCAAAGTAGTGGCTGCCAGCCTCAGGGTTTGCTCTGCAAATAACTAGCAGTTCCTAGTGGTCCTTGTTATGCTCCCCCAACACACGAGAGCTGTATGTTGTCATCTCATTGCATCAATACCTTCTTACAAATTGCCCTACTTTCCCCTGCCCTTTTTCCTGGTGGCCTCATCCAGGTATCAGTGACAAACGAACAGGTATTTTGCAGGCGAATGCATCCGAAATGGCAGCTGTGCACATGCTCTCAAGTCTGCAATGTGCTGAATGCTGCGCGAGGGATCCTCTGGAGAAAAGCACTCAGCACCCTTCTGAAGACACCTTCATGCTCATTATCAGCTACTGTCAATGGGGGAGGAAGGAAGTGTCATTTTTCTCTGTTCCTAAGCAAAGGGCTTTGCATGAGGAACCCAAGGGAAAATGAGAATGGTAATTTGCTGAGCAGAGGTGCAGAAGGGTGATTCACGCATTGGCAGTGGTGGTGGGGGGGGAGGGAGAGGGAAGCAGGGAGATCAGAGACCTTCCATCAAACAGAATTTTTAGGTCTGCGGTAAATGATACAATTTTGATGGCTTTTTCCGGTCTATGATTTTTTAATGAGACTGTAAGGTGAATCTGTCTGGCTGTGGCATTTACATAGATTTGGGGATTTTTTTTCTTTTGGATGCTTCCTCAGTTTCATTTTTCGTCTCAAATCTCCCTCAGTATATGGATCAGGAGGATGCTAGCATGCCCCTGGTTATAAACTACTCTTGGGGCCCAGTATCACTACCCATAATGATTTTATGGAAGAGTCTGCCCCTTTGGGGATTTCTAGATTGCTGGACTTTGATGTATAGAATGACACCACCTCTATACTCTATGGTTCTTCCTATAGAGTTTATATCAGGAATTAACTGTGTCATGCTGGTTCTCTCTGTTTCACCAAATTTTGATTATACCCACTATATCAATGCTGTCCTCTAAGACCAAGCACTCCAGTTCCCTCGCTTGGCTCAGAGGCTTCTTAACACTCGCTTCTCTCTTCACAGTTTCTCTCTTCAAGTGTCTTTGGCACTTGTGTTTTGACCTAAGGTGCCTTGGACGCTCTGAATCACTATCCTGTGCCAAGTCGCTCACAATTCTATGCCTCCCCCATTTGAAATCCCATCAACTTTATCATCTTCATTCCTGGGAGCGATTTGTTCTGAGCCACACCCTGCTCAGCTCCTGATGGTTTTGCCCTCTGGATCAGTTTAAAAACTGCTTTTTTATTTTGAGCGCCAGCAGTCTGGTTCCACCTGCGTTTAGGTTCCATGCATCTTGTACAGACTCAGCTGGCCCCAAAATGTTCCCCAGTATCTAAGAAAACCAAACCCCTTTTCCCAACACCATAATCTCATCCACACATTGAGAATACAAAGCTGTGCCTGTCTAGTTGGCCCTGTGTGTGGGATTGATAAAATTTTGGAGAAAGCTGCCTT